ATTAATATTAATTAATTAATTTATTGGTAAAACAATTACTAAAGTTTAATTGGTAAAAAAATGTTATACAGAAATTAACTTGCTGCAAATTAATTACAAAATTATAGATTAATTATTTAGTGATTGATTACACTATTATAGAATAAATTCCTTTTTAACTGTAATAATTTTAGTAATAAAATGAAAAAGAAATTCAATACCTTAGTTTGAGAAACGATTCTAAGGTTTCTGAAATTGAAACGCAGAACTAGATACAATAATCTGCCAAGTCTGTGCATTTATGTTAAAATGAGAAAAACAAACAGTAAAATTAAAGGATTAACACACAGCTGCCCACCGCCGACTGTGAGACTGACTTGAGGGTGACGACGGAGTCCGAGTGACGGCTACCTTAAACCTTAACGACCAGGCGAATAGGCTATGATCGACAGACGACTGGAAGACGGTTCTGAACTGTAAGTTGAACGAAGATTGGTCACTCACTATCTCCATTTATAGATGTGTGGTGGGCAATGGGCGGTTGGCAGCTGACGGTGCACAGTATAATCAGGCCAAAGGTTGTCTGAATGTCAAATGTTCATGTCTTAATATATGCAATTAACACACACACACACACACATACATATATATAGTCGCGTTCTGGTGCGAATGTCGCGCCGAGGTGCAAAATGCGAACCAATCAGCAGCGCGCGCCACGTGTCCAGATCTAGGTGCACATATAGTTATAATTAGGTGCACCTAGATGAAAGTAGGTGCACTTGTAGGTGAAAGTAGGTGCACTTGTAGGTGAAAATAGGTGCACCTGATCAATGAATGTTAACAAGGAAAAATTACATGCACTTGTAGGTGAAAGTAGGTGCACTTGTAGGGGAAAGTAGGTGCACTTGTAGATGAAAGTAGGACACGTTACGCGCGCTGATTGGTTCGTATTTCGCACCTGGGCGGCCATTCGCATGAGATCGCACCCCTATATATATATATATATATATATATATATATATATATATATATATATATATATATATATATATATATATATAATCACGCACCTTAAGCACAAAACTCACACACCTTAAGAAGGAAAACCACGCACCTTAAGTTTTAACAAATACTCACATTAAGCACATAACCCACGCACCTTAAGCACAAAAACCACGCACCTTAAGAAGGAAAATCAAGCACCTTAAATTTGACCTAGATGCAAAAATTATCAATTTGCCACCACGTTTTTTTCTTTAATTTTGGTAATTCTGAACGTTGATTTAAGCAAGATCAATGACTCAGATTTAACCGCACACCTGGGCGCACCAACCGCATTTGAACCTAATTATATATATAGCACGAAAATGATGAAATTTGCGGTTTTCTATACGATATCTACATGTTGACTATTAATTGGTCAATTATTTGCTCAAATTCAAGCAATGATAACATCAGAAAACATAATCGATCCAACTCAATTATTCAATTGCACTATATAATATTCGATGTTATAATTTACACAATTGTATATCTATCTAAATATTCTTTACATATTATACCAAATTAATTCCGTGCAACGCACTGGTGAAAATACTAGTTATATATTGTAGTATTATATAAGTTATTTCCTAAAATATAAATATCAAATTTATAAAAATAGTTTACATTATTATTATTTAATAATATAAATACCTAAAATCTAAATAAATCTAAGATTTTAGTTTGCACTTTGCGCATAAAAAATACTAGTGTGTGTGTGTGTGTGTGTATATATATATATATATATATATATATATATATATATATATATATATATATATATATATATATATATATATATATATGTATATATGTATGTATGTATGTATGTATGTATGTATGTATGTAGGATAAATGACTAAAATGTGTAGTCAAACTTGGGAAATTCCCAAACTTTGTCGCCTTTTTTTTTTGACAAAAATATGCAAAACTCCTTTGGGAGTTGCGTTTTTGGTGTTGTCCCGGCGTATTTTTTTTGTTTCGGTATTTCCGTAAAACGCAAGAGGTGGTTGCGTTTACGTATTCGTATACGTAAAACGCATTACCGAAATGCGTTTTCTAGGGGATACTGTATAGGTAAAAATGCAACTTACTCTTGCGCTTTACGTATTATACCGAAAACGCAAAAGTAAGTTGCGTTTATTGGATTTTTGTACAGGCGCTTTCCGGCAACCGCGAAGAAAACCACGGCGACGGCGAGAACCAGATTTGAAAACGTAAAACGCATCGTTGGTTGTCGTCAAATTCCACTTAAACCATCGTTGCAAGTCAAATGTTTTCCACTTTCCTGCGTCTTTCTATGCTCTCTTTTTGTCTGTCCCTTTCTGTTTTTATCTTCATTTTTTTTTCAATTTTGTCTGTTTTCTTACTCTGTATTATTATATATACCCTTGCCTGCCGCTTGAGTTTATGCATGTGTACTCGCCTGAGTTTAGTTTTTTCATTCTACGAAAATATACTCTGATATATAGGATCTTCAATTCAATCTGCTTGCTTGTTAGCTATTTCAATGGCGGCTAAAATCCATCCTCAGATATCTTCATCTTCCAATTCTTGTTCTAACTATGTGACTTCAAAAAGAGAAACACTTACGATATGGATGAAATCCTTGGTTTTCCATGGCAATGGTTGCACCGCCTATAATTCCAAAGGAGAAATCGTTTTCAGAGTCGAAAAACGCAATTCATTCTTGCGTTTTTCACAGAATTCCGGCGGACTAGCGCCGGTAAAAAGTCCGCATTTCGGAGTTGCGTTTTACGTATTTTATAGGATTATACGTAAAACGCATCTCCCAAATGCGTTTAAACGTATTCAATACGTCACATGAAAACGCATTTGGGAGTTGCGTTTTTCGTATACAATACGAAAAACGCAACTCGCAATTGCGTTTTAAGTAATTAACGAAAAAAAAAATACAGCTGGGACAGCTTCAAAAACGTAACTGGTAAAAGAGTTTTACATATTTCTGTCAAAAAAAAAGTCAGCACACATTTTGGGAATTTCTCATGGCCTTCTACACATTTTAGTCATTTATCCATGTATGTATGTATGTATGTATGTACACACTTATTAAAACTTGCCACATAAAGGAGACTATTTTGTGGTGGTAAATATAAAAGTATTTAGCATTGTCCTTCAAAATATTTCAATTGATAACTCAGATACTCTAAATTTAAAATCTAATTCGAATTTCGAATTTAATTTGGATTGTTCAAATTCCACTCTTAAATTTAGGCAAGACATGTTGCACCATGTCATATCAATTGCACTCACATATTTCTTTCATATATATATATTTATTTTCTTATCTTTTTAAATTGACATTTTAACCCGTTTACTAACTAAATATTTTTTTTTATTTTTTAAAAAATTAGAAAATTAGAGAATAGAAAAAAAAAAAAAAAAACAGATTTACTAGTACAGTTTTATATTTTGAAAACGGAAAACATTTTCTAGTCTTTTAAAAAATTGAAAAAAATTTTAAAATATATTTTGTAAATAGAAAGTAAAGTCATCTGTCATCTGTTTGGTTATATATCATTATACCACATTTTCACCATTATCTACTTACATAGTTTTTTTGAATGCTATCTACTTACATAGTTATTCATTACTATAATTATATTCATTATCATATTCTTTTACTTGTCACCATCTTCTATCTTTTATATTCGCATTTACTTATATAAACATAATTTATTTAATTACGCTTATAGTTAGACATTATTCACATTATTAAAACAAAAACTTGAACTCTATGCCAATTAAGGATTAATTTAACCTTTTTTTTCATGATAAATTTCTGGTAAATGCATGATTACATTGAAAAGAACATGACATATCACATATATGGTAACCTTTTATTACTGAAAATCGATGTATTTGCATATTTGAATACTTAATTAGCAAGAATCTTGAGGTCAACTTTTTTTTTTTTATTGTAAATTCAAATCTTGTACTTATACTGCAATCTAAAAAAGAGTTATTTCGTAGTAATTAATTATCAATATTCTTTTATTGTACTTATATAATAAAGTGATCTTTAACATTAGATGTATAAATAAATACATCAAATTTTGGCAAAGGCCTCGTGGCCAAGCGACATAGCTGTGGCTTCTCAAATAAGAGATTGAGAAAGTATGTATAAACAAAAAGTACATTGTAATAGAGTCAGTAGCATTCAAAAAAAAATACATCAAATTTTATTTTATTTGAGTTGAAATTTAAATTTACATGCAAAACATTGTTGAGGCCATTTATTCAGCAAATTATTGTGCGGACTATGATCCACAACAAAAAAAATACATTTTTAATATACTAAAAGTACATTATTCGTATAGTGTATGTGCATTATATAAAATAATATATACTTTCAATACTCAAATAATGTACTTTTCTTAAATACAATGTACATTTTTAATATACTAAAAGTACTTTATCTATGTATTGAATGTACATTATTTAATAATTTAATATATACAGTTGCATGGATCATGATTCTAAATGATTTCTCAATGCTCTGTTGGGCCGGCTTGTGGGAACCCTTAAGGTTGGGGTTCAACCTTTTCGGAGGAATGATTCCAAATGATTTGCATTTATTGATTTATTCCCTCCAAGTCACTATTATAGTAATCCTATTAGAATTAGTGTTGCTATATTATATTAGTACTCCTATTTGAATTAGTATTGCTATATTATCTTAGTACTCCTATTAGAATTAGTATTGCTATATTTTATATTATATTTCTGAAAATATTACATTGGGGAGATCAGAACACGACATCCTCGGCTCCACCGTGGGTTTTAACCACGGTTCTTTCCTTTATTATTATATTTTTTTAGGTAAATTATTTTCTTCACTTTTCTGCCATTCTCGTACTTGGATGTCTACATCAAATATAAGAAAATCAAAATGATTAGAATTTAACGAACTATCACTTTTGTCTTCTTTATGCTCACAACTGTCTCTAAATTCTTTTTTTTTTTTTTTTTTTTTTTTGTAATTAAACTCAAGAAATTAACCTGGTTTTCAAGATTCTAATTTTATAAAACCGTTTGATTTTTTTTTCCTCTGTTTCCAGTAAAGACGACTAGTTTCAAAGGTAAAAGTTAAAGGGTTCAGATTTTTTTGGGTTCTTTCCATTTTTGGGTTCTTTCGTTTGGAGATTGTATGTATTTTGGGTGTGAAATTTTGCATTAAAAATAAAAGGTTTTTTTTTATTCTTTTTAAAGATATTATTTCCAGAAAATATTGGGGTTTTAATGCTTTTAAAGAATTGTTCCTTTTGGCGAGTTAAATTGGGCAAGTGAGTAAAAGGGTTCTCTTTACAGGGGGAGAAGGGATAATATTATACCTAGTAGCCATACACTATTTCTCTGGTGGGTGCAGCATTCTCTTGAGATCTTAGAGGTTAGCTTTCTTGAATTCCTTTTCTCTATATCAAGTTTTATTTGTTTAATTAGTTTTTGATTTTTGTTTTGTTTCATTGCTGTAGCCTTTTTGTTTATGTTCAGTAAATATGTGTCTACTTCCCAAGAGAAGAGTTGCTCTGATCTTCTCTGTAAATGCCATTGTTGCTGGATGTGTTAAGGGCTTTAGCCGAATTCTACTGTAATTATATCAGTTGATGTTTCAGTCAATCTTAAACTCCCTGAAAGGTTAAGGGTTTTTTTTTTTTTTTTTTGTGATCATGGTGTATGATTAAGGATCATGAATAATCCAGAAACCACTTTGGGTACTTAGGATTATGGGCTTGAATAAGCCAAAAAGTGGTCTACAATCTGTAATCCATAATCTTTGTTAAACATGCAAAAAGTTGATTATTTAATCTATAAATCTAACTTATAAGCATTAAAAAGCACCCACAGAGAATCTGTTGAAGTTCTGGGTTGTGGAATGCAATGACCTTAGGTATCAAAGGATGGACAGACGGCCTGATATGACCTTAGAATTTTGGTGTGCTAAGATTTTAGTTGTAACTTGGATTTCTTGGGGTATTTGATCAGAAAGATAGTTTTCTTTTGCCCCTCTAGGAGTAACTTTTGTGAAGGGAAAGGTAGGGATGCAGAAATGTTCAGTTCACTCAATGTGGTGATCTTTCTTTTTGCTTGGTTCCGTTTTATTCTTGACCTTGTGGGTGACTCCCATTAGGAGAATTTTTATGTCAGAAAGAACGTGAAAAAACTCCATACATAACTAACCCGAAGATGCTGACATGGTGAGCATGTAAGCCAGCTCAATGGGAGGCTTTTCTGGTGTGGGATCCCAAATCGGAGATCGAAATGTCTCTCTAGACCTGTGGTTGTGTTCTTTCGCTTATAGAAAGAAATTTGTGTTATGTCTTCTTTTTCTTTTTCAGAATGACAGTTAGGCCAGCGGGCTTATAAACTTAACTACAAAATGGGCCAGAGGCATCTAGAATGGTGTTTTGAACTGGAAACCATCACGCTGCATCTTTTTTGTTAGAATGGGCCGGACGCAACTAGAAAATGAACAAGGGGCCATGGCAATGAACGAGTTGGGCCATAATGCATCTGGGTCGAATTAAAACTAAAATGTTGAATCCAACTAATTAGCTAGTTAAACCCGTAGCTTTATAAACCCATCCTTCCTCTCTTAATTTTCAATATTGGTATTCCAAATAAAATCACAGAAGAACAATGCTTTTGTTATTGTTCTTATTTTTCAGCACTAGACATATCGGGCTGCAATCTGCACACGGATTTGATTTGAACCTCGCTCTGTAGTTTGTCCAAGCATCTCAATTCCGTCCTCCTAGTTTATTTTCTTCTCAAATCCAATAGGATAAAAGTTTATTCCGCTCTTGTTTTTTCTTATTACCTCTCCAAACATTTCTCCCCTCGCAAGACCAATTAAATCAATAGGTTTCCACAACAGACTAAAAGGCTTCAAATTATCTACTTTCTTCCTGCACAAAATGTGGTTAACATACTTCCTCCTAGAGATACCAATTTCTTCACCTTTGCAATTAGATTTTTAATTTTTTCCAAGTAATGGAGCGACTGCCTTAAGTAAAATTTTGTTAGACAAAATTGACCTCCAAACATCCTAGTCAGCACTACACGTCTACACTGCCCCCTTTCCACCTGCTATTCTACTGCTTTGCTTTATTTCCTCTTTTAAATCTTTTATTTCATGACGGAAGATATGCCTTTTTCTCCCCGTTCTCTGGCTCTCAATTGCTCCTTCTTTCTTATTTGTATATATGCAAACTCTCTATGAATGCAGCAGCCCACGACACTAAATTAGAGGACAATATGTAAATGATTCAATTATTTTCAAATTCATATTCTAGAGTGGAGGACCTGGGGCGAAATGAGGGGGGTGGGGTTATATTAGTTTTGTGCATATTTTTGTTATTATTGTTGTTATTGTTCTTATTCTTGTTTTGTTGTTGTTATTAGTATAATGGTTATTATTTCTGAGTTCAAACAAAATTAGACAGTTTCGTGTACTTGGACTTAGTTTGGGAAATGTATATTTAACTAACACTTTGCGTAACTTTATGCTATATAATGGTAGTTGAAATGCATTTCTGTTAAATTTGATTGAAACTTGGGTCAGGTTTAGATTTGGGAGTAATGGATAACAATTAACCACACGGTGGTTTAGTTCAAATAATGGTGACGGAAAAGTAGCTTAATAATGGCTGAAAAGAGTTACAAATTAAGCATATCGACGGGAAAGTGAACCCTTATGCTAACAAAAGGGTGACGCACCATGATCACCTTTCATATGGCCTCTATCTTTTTGAAACCCCCCGGAAAGCATTTTACCTAGACAGCTAGACTTTACGCAAATACCATTCAAGTCACCTACTCGAGATTTAATTAATATGTTATCTTAGTCTTTCATTATCCCCTGAATGTAAAAAATAAAAAATCAAAAAAGAGCCCTTGATAAAGAGGAGCTCAATGGATTGGAGATTGATAGATCTATGGGTGGTAAGTAAGGGTAAGCATGAAATTATTTGATAACTTAGAGAGGATCTATTAAATTATTATTTAGTTACTTCTAATAGAAACTAACAATGGCTTCTTGCATATGGTTCAAATCTCTAAGATATGTTAAGTTTCGAATAGATGGTGTTAAGCACTTGAATTTGATTATACACGTGTTATTATTAGCTTAATTCATTGATAGAAATATTTTCATAAATGTACTATCTGAACATAGACACGTATTCCTTTTCATCTTTGCGCCAATTTGTGTAGATTTAGGCGATTTTTGAAGAGTGTCTATCCTTATCGCATTATTAATGTCTATTTCTGCCCTTTCCCCATCAGATTGTCAGTTACATCTACTGGTTTTGGTAGGTTGCAGATTGGAATTGAATGCTCGAGATTTCCATAATCTGCCGCACGTAGGCTTTTCCCTTCAGCAAGCTTAAATACCAGAGCACAGAAGCATTTCCGTTCAATATCCATTGTCACTCAGTCGGTCACTCCCAGTCATTGAACAGAGAATACTATACTTGTGAAATTCTGAGAGTTTATATATGCTCCAGACTGGAATCATAACTGTTTAAAGAGCATGAAGGTTTGATCTTTGTTTTAAGCATTTTTTTCTCCATTATATGCTTTCTGAATCCATATTTGTGCTATGTATATTTGAAAAAAAAATGGAGTTTTACCTCATATTTTTCATGAAGGAAAGAAATAGTGAAAGGAAAGAGATCTGCACAAGACTCTACTGAGTAAAAATTTTGGTGTTTACTATTTATCAGATTTAGTAACCACATCTGGATTATTTTCTGTTATATCTCCAGTTACTTGTTGGATTTTTTATCAAGAAAAATATATATTTTGTATTTATTCTCTGCAAGGAGCGATGTTTCTCAAGTTACATTTATTTACATGGTCTAGTGTGTAGTTTACAGTGATTCGTTGATTATTAATATATAATACTCATAGAGAAAACACAACATAAAGAAGATCTTGGTGAAATTCCTTGCATAAAGCAAATTCTTAGCGTAATTGCATAAATGTCACTTCATATTTCTTAACCTTGTTCTCCTAAGATATTCCTTGCATTGCCTCGATCCTTTCATGTGAACTGGTCTTAACTCTGCAATTTGTTCACAGGAACGCCCTCCAAGACAAGCTGTAAAAAACAGGAGCAATCTTGAAAGTTCAGGCAGCCCTTCGAATCTAAAGGTACAAGAATAACTGCAAGATGTTCTCAATATCATTTAACTTGGAGTTCGTTGATATCCTCCAGTAAATCTTTGACATCGTAATAATTATCTAATCTATTTAGGTTTATTCGTTTCCCACTTTTTTTCAGATCTTGGAGCAGCCATCAGCAAGATGGAATCCTCTTGAAGCACGTCGACCAATCCTAGATGAAGCTCCTGTATTCTATCCAACGGTTGAGGTAAAATTCTCAGTTGAAGAATTCCGTTATTAACTTATTATTATGTTCTGTCTGTTTGGTTGATATAAGATGCTCTTTTATGGTGTAATTGATCAGGAGTTTCAAGATACCATTGGCTATATTGCAAGTATACGCCCGAAAGCAGAGGCATATGGCATATGTAGGATTATACCGCCCTCATCTTGGAGTCCACCTTGCCCTCTCAAAGAGAAGAATGTGTGGGAATGCAAATTTTCTACCCGAATCCAACAAATTGATGTGCTTCAGAATAGGGAGCCCATGAGAAAGAAAAGACAGCGCAAGAGGAGACGAAGGGGACAATCCAAGGCGAGATCTGTTCGGAGATGTCCTGGCTCTGAATCAAATGTTTCTGACAGTGAAGAGAAATTCGGGTTTCAATCTGGACCTGACTTTACGCTCAAGGAATTTCAGATATTCTCTGATGGGTTTAAAGAACGTTATTTCGGGGTAAAGATTGCAAAAGAAGGAATGTCTGATAGGTCTGGACAGGAAAATGAACGGAAGCCATCTATTGAAGATATTGAAGGTGAGTACTGGCGCATTGTTGAGAAGTCAACAGATGAAGTTGAGGTACGAGAACATCGAACAATATTCTTATTCCTTTGATACACACACACACACACACACACACACACACACACATTTGTTTAATTAGATCATAGGTGTTCTCATATTCTAAACACTAGGTGTACTATGGGGCTGATCTGGAAAGCGGAGTATTTGGCAGTGGCTTCAAGGCTTCATCGTTTGCAACTAAGAGTTCATCAGATGAATATGTAGCTTCAGGTTGGAATTTGAACAATTTCGCACGCCTGCCAGGGTCTGTCCTGTGCTTTGAAGAGTGCGATATCTCGGGAGTTGTAGTGCCATGGCTCTATGTTGGAATGTGTTTCTCATCGTTTTGTTGGGTATGTAATTTTCTCGGTTACATCACTTATTGTACTCAAAATTTCAATTTATTTCGTTGTGATTCTGTGTGGTTCTTTATTCGTTTTTTTTTTTTTTTTCCCACTTCATCAAAACCATTTGCTTTGTTTCTTGTGCTGACAATATATTTCCATTCTTGATTATCTGGAAAGCATGTCGAGGACCACCATCTCTACTCACTCAATTATTTACACTGGGGGGATCCGAAGATATGGTATGGAGTGCCCGGAAGTCATGCTACTGCACTGGAGGATGCAATGAGGAAGCATTTGCCAGATCTCTTTGAGGAGCAACCTTTCCTGCTTAATGAACTAGTAAGTAATTAATAGCCAGTTTTAGTTTTGTTTAGAGATAAGTAGCAGATCATGTGGACCTGGTATGACTATGGATATCTCACCTCAACTTTTGTGGTTTGCTCTAGCAATATCATTCCCAGTTTTCTATTTTAACTCCCTCCCTAATCACTTTCAAGCTAGTCTTCTAGAGTCCTAGTCTATCCAAGTACTATTCACCTAGGCAGCATTGAGATTATTTTGGGGTGGCAAGGGAAACCCGCAGTCACTATCCGAGGGCATGCACTGGATAAACCCCACCTTGTGACCCTAGCCGGCAAAGGACCTCAAGGAGGTAAACCAGCCTAGGTTGCCCAGAATTGACCGGCTCAAACCAAGAGAATTGGGATTCGAACTCGTGACCTTGTGGTTACAAGTTTGTATCCTTAGTCATCTTGGCTGGGGCTACCCCAGCATTGAGATTATTTTGGGGTGGCGAGGGAAACCAGCAGTCACTACCCGACTGCGTGCACTGGATAAACCCCGCCTTGTGACCCTAGCCGGCAAAGGACCTCAAGGAGGTAAACCAGCCTAGGTTGCTCAGAATTGACCGGCTCATACCAAGAGAACTGGAATTCGAACTCGTGACCTTGTGGTTACAAGTTTGTATCCTTAGTCATCTTGGCTGGGGCTACCCCAGCATTGAGATTATTTTGGGGTGGCGAGGGAAACCAGCAGTCACTACCCGACTGCGTGCACTGGATAAACCCCGCCTTGTGACCCTAGCCGGTAAAGGACCTCAAGGAGGTAAACCAGCCTAGGTTGCTCAGAATTGACCGGCTCATACCAAGAGAACTGGAATTCGAACTCGTGACCTTGTGGTTACAAGTTTGTATCCTTAGTCATCTTGGCTGGGGCTACCCCAGCATTGAGATTATTTTGGGGTGGCGAGGGAAACCAGTAGTCACTACCCGACTGCTTGCACTGGATAAACCCCGCCTTGTGACCCTAGCCGGCAAAGGACCTCAAGGAGGTAAACCAGCCTAGGTTGCCCAGAATTGACCGGCTCAAACCAAGAGAGCTGGGATTCGAACTCGTGACCTTGTGGTTACAAGTTTGTATCCTTAGTCATCTTGGCTGGGGCTACCCCAGCATTGAGATTATTTTGATCAAAGAAGTTTTGTCAGTTGCCATTGACATTTTTTTATCTTCTTACCTGGGAATGTGTACAATTTTGAACTCTTTGGAGGCGTTAATTCATTTGTGTTTATTTATTTTTGTTAAAGGTTACTCAGTTGTCTCCTTCAGTCTTGAAGTCGGAGGGAGTACCGGTCTACCATGCTGTACAGCACTCTGGGGAGTTTGTTCTGACATTCCCAAGAGCCTATCATTCTGGATTTAACTCTGGGTTCAATTGCGCGGAGGCTGTAAACGTGGCCCCTGTGGATTGGTTAGAGCATGGACAAGTAGCAATCGAGCTCTATAGTAAACAACGTCGCAGAACTTCACTGTCACATGATAAGTTGCTCATAGGTGCAGCAAGAGAAGCCGCCCAGGCACTATGGGAATTATCGTTTCTTGAGAAAGAAAATCCAAGAAACTTGAGGTGGCAGATGGTCTGTGGGCAGGATGGAATATTGACAAAAGCAATTAAGGTAAACAACCAATTGATCCATTAAAGCAAACAACAATCCTTACATATGCGTTTAAGGTTATGCATACATGTGAAAAACTGTATCTTAAAAATGCTTTTTTTAATTCTGGGTTTTGCTCGTTTACAGAAAAGGGTTCAAATGGAAGAGGAAAGGATAAAGCGGCTATCTCCTGTTCTATCTCTTAAATACATGGGCCGAGATTTTGACTTGAAGAGCGAGACAGAATGTTTCGAGTGCTTCTATGATTTGCACCTATCTGCTGCTAGTTGCAATTGTTCCCCGGAAAAGTTTGCATGCCTTGAACATGCAAATCTTATTTGCTCGTGTAATCCAGAAAATAAACTCGTTGTTCTCCGCTATACCTTAGATGACTTCAAAACGCTGGTTAAAGCATTGGAAGGAAACTCCGATGCAATGAAAATGTGGGTTGCCAAGGATTTCTGTGGTGCTCGAGATGCGGGGAAGGATGTTAGAGAGGAATTCGCGAGGTCAGATGGCCAGCCGCCATCTAATTTACGTGCACCTCGCGACATGGCAAATGAGGTTAAAGCTGAAATCCATGCCATAGCTGATGGGAATACTTCTGGGAATGGTCGTGAATTTGATTTGAACGAAAACTGTTTGTCCAGTGATAATGAAGTCAGTCCGCCACAAATGTCCAATAGCTCCAACAACTCCGTTGATTTAGAGATGGTTGACGTTTCAGAATCTACAAGGCCGAAAGGAAATAATTTTTCACTATTCCCGGAAAACAGAAACCTAGGTGCCAATATAAACGCCTCTAGCTCACATGATTCCGAGAATGGAATGAAGTTATTTGGAATCGATCTCTCTGCAAGATCGCTTCCAAGCTTTACGTTTAATGGAGAACAGAAAACAGGAGTTGTTGACAGTTCAAAGGTCGTTTCTCTTCAGAATTCAAGCTTTCAAGTTGAGCCAATCAATTACGGGTCTGTTAGAAAGCAATGGTGTGATAAGAGGACCATATTCCCTAAAGGTACACCATTTTTTAAAGATTTAATTCTGATTTCGACCTTTTCTAACACTATAAACTTTGACAGGATTTCAAAGCCGTGTAAAGTTTTTCAGTGTTTTTGATCCAACGAAATACACCAGTTATATATCTGAGGTTTGTGACGGTGGACTTCTTGGACCTCTATTTAAGGTAAATCTCGGGCCAAAAAACGAAAACCCTTTTGTCAAGTTTTTATCTATGTACAGGCTTGATTGAAATGTTTATGCCCATCCCTCACTTTTTGAGATGCATTTCAGGTGACTTTAGAACACTGTTCTACTATAAGCTATACATGTTCTTCAGCTGAGAAATGCTGGGAAATGATGGTGCAGAGACTGAACAACGAAATAATGAGGCAAACCGTTTTAGGGAAGCAAGGACTCCCCCCGTTGCAAACTGGAGATAGAATTAACGGGCTTGAAATGTTTGGGTTCTTATCCCCGCATATCATTAAGGTAAAAAGTCTCTTTTATATGCTTCGTGTTTGTCCATTCAACACTATCTACTTTTGTTTCCCCATGTGGCTTCTCTCTGTTTGAGACCTAGGACAGATTGAGGCTTTGCTTCTATACGTGGTACTTTGGAATAGAATCCAATCAGTTCGTTAGTCTAACCCATGACTTTATAAACTCATATGTTTTTTCAATGTGGATACTTAACAATTCCCTCAAGTGGACAACTAGACCATTTTGAATCTAACCAGTTGACCACATAAAATTGTATTGGACCTTACCCCTGAAACGAAACCAAAGTGGACCGAACAAGCGGGCTTATGAAAGCTTGGACGCTACCAATACCACAGGTAGACAATCGGGTGAACACAAAGTGGATATAAGAGACTTTGATATATCTTATAAACTAAGATTGGGTCAAGGTCACTCAACTGGGCTATAATGCACATGGGCCAAACCACACTGAAGATTGAATCCAATTAATTAGCTAGTCTAACTCATGATCTTATAAACCCATATGTTCTTTCTCATGTTTCTCAATGTGGACTCTTTACAGAATGGATTAGAGATTTTGTGATCCATCCACCATTTTTGCATTAAACCATCTTTCTTATTTCTGTTTATGTGCAGGAGATTGAATCGCTTGATCCTGACCATGAATGCATGGAGTACTGGAGTCAGAAGCTGCAGCCTCCGGGATTTAGCCAGCACGATGTCAAACCAAGCTCAAATGTCGAGGAAAGAAGCCAAGATTCTGGAGTCGATTTGGCCGCTAAACGAATACTAGGTAGCAATAGTCATTTATCTGATGACAACGTGAAAACTGCGCTGCATAGATTTTTCAGTAAAGCAAATCCACAAGAGTTGGAGATGATGCATAGAGTATTGTGCAGCGGATCAAGTAGCCCGGACTGGAGAACAGCAGTTGCTGTCCTGGATGAGATGCAGAAGAAAGGTGAAACAAAACATAGGGACTAATCATTTCTTTTGTTCTTAAGGTTCATATCTTCAGCTATAGATCCCATTTAAAAAAAAAAAAAAAAAAAAAAGAAAAGCAAAAAGAAAAAAAAAAAAGAAAGAAACTCCCATCATAAAGATATAGAGTTCCTGCCATAGGTTTCAAGCAGATAGCATCATATAGAAGAAAAATGTTAGGCTTTGAGGTCTTCTTTTGCATGTTGCAGAACAATCAATTGTTGTTTTTAGTAATTTTACAGTGTTTTACTTCTCTTCATGTTTGACTATGTACAATAGTTTCAATCTGCAATATGGATGGCCTCATTCTTATGAGATTCAACAAGTTTTTGAAGTGTTATTACTTATTATAGGCATTCACTCTGTTGGGCATTGTTCGGGTTGACCGAGTTTAGTTAATGTCCCTATTTATCACCAATTGATTTTAAGAAGGGGAGATATATACTGGACATGTTCGGTAAATGGCAGATCAACCAAAATTTTGACGGATTCGTCTCTTTAGTGTTTTGACCTTTATCAAAACGCTAAAGATTTTGACGGACTCCAAATTGCACTTAGCGTTTTGAAGAAAGATTTTTCTTTTCTCCAAAACACCCCTGTATTTAAAAAAATAAAATATTTACTATGGAGTCATTTCGGCTCCGTGAATGCAAGAGTCAGTTTGGCTGGCTCACTGCTTGCCCATCAATGGATGTACAAGCTTTATGTTTAACTTGGAGCCTCCTCAAGGCTCTCATACCACTTTTCCTACATTGGCAAAATCGGTTAGCTCCCCTTATGTTTTTTTTTTTTTTTAATTTCTTTATAATTTCTTTTATTAAATAATAATAATTATTATTATAGGCATTCACTTTGTTGGGCATCATTCGGGTCGACCGAGTTTAGTTAATGTCCCTATTTATCATCAATTGATTTTAAGAAAAGGAGATAAAATATTGGACATGTTTAGTAAATGGCAGATCAACCAAAATTTTGACAGATCCGTCTCTTTATTGTTTTGACCTTTGTCAAAACGCTAAAGAAAGTGTTTGGTTATTCAGTGGTTTGCTCCAAACCGCTGAAAATGCAAACGCTGCAATTTGCAGCGTCTGCACTTAGCGTATTGAATAAAGGTTTTTCTTTTTTCCAAAACACCCCTGTATTTTTACCCAAAAAAAAAAAAAAATGTTTACTGTGGAGTCGTTTCGTCTCTGTGAATGCAAGAGCCAGTTTGACTGGCTCACTGCTTGGCCACCAACGGATATACAAGCTTTATGTTTAACTTGGAGCCTCCTCAAAGCTCCTATGCCACTTTTCCTACATTGGCAAAATTGGTCAGCTCCCCTTATGTTTTATTTTTTTAATTTCTTTTATTAAATAATAATAATAATAATAATATTAATAATAATAATAATAATATTATTATTATTATTATTATTATTATTGTTATTATTATTGTTATTAGTATTAGTATTAGTATTATTATTATTATTATTATTATTATTATTATCATTATCATTATCATTATCATTATCATTATCATTATCATTATCATTATCATTATCATTATCATTATCATTATCATTATCATTATTATTATTATTATTATTATTATACCATTTAAGTCATTTTACATGTTAATCGCTAACATAAACAGTTAATTTTACCAAACATTTTTTACCAATCACTAATGCAATTCACTGGTCAAACCTGCTAATATAATTCGCTATTTGCTAACCGCTAACATAATCTGCTAACCTCTAATTGCCAAACAAGGCTGTTAATCGTGAATTTTTTTCTCATGTTTCTTTAATTTAACTAAACATTTATAGATACAGTAATTTTTTGTTTTTTTTTTTAAATTTAGTTTTAATCTCTGAGTTATAAAATAATAGTATTAGTTTTATCTCTAGTTAACATGGTGTTGAAAAAGCACTCCTAATTAGTCACTAAGGTGACATATTTAGTCATTTTGATGAATGTCATTATTTTGAATGAAAAAACGTTAAAGTATTTATAGCATGAGTTATAGTCGATGACAATTTAATAATTTTTCATTACTACAAATATTTCTTTCAATTATTAACAATCTATTCTTACATTATGAATACACTAAACCATAACATGTACATGTTATCTTCCATCCAAAATTGACTAAATCATCTATAAAGATCATCTCAAGTGTGGAAATTACTAGGACCAAAAGAAACACGACTTGCAAGTTTCAAAATTTTAAATTGTAAATTATGGTTTTTGTTAATAGCATTTATATTTGGGCAATGATCATTCAAAGTACTTGATTGTGAAAATGAAAAGTACAATGGTAATCCCTCTCAATTAAAAAAGTATTGAACTGCATCAATTTGTGGAGGAATAGTTTAAGGATTAATATTTGATACACCGCCAGTGTATAGATGCTATACACTGGTGGTGAATGAGGAGATGACACATCATTAAAGAATAAAATCAATGTTAATCGGGTCCTTTTTTGCAAAATATCTAAGACTTGTATTCTTTTAGGAAACTCTTTTATTTATAATTAACAAAATATATCTACTTTCCAAAACATATTTATTACTTAATTATTATATATTTAATTATCTAATTAGAAATAATGAAAACCATTCTTTTATTTTTAATTATCACGTATCACAAATATTAATCCTGTACGTATCACTTATACTAATAATAATAATAATAATAATAATAATAATAATAATAATAATAATAATAATAATAATAATAATAATAATATCATTCCTGTAAAAAAAAATTCAACATACATTCATTATCTAATTATTTCTTCTTTTGTTTTAAAAAATTATTTCTAAATTATTATATTTATAACTAAATTACAACCTTAGTCACAATTAGAAATAATTGTCACATCTTGTAAGAATATATATATATATATATATATATATATATATATATATATATATATATATATATATATATATATATATATATATATTCAATAATGTATAAAATCAACACTTAATAAAATATTATGTAATAGTCAAATTATATCTTAAAACTTATTAAAAAGTTATAATGTAATACACTCCATACAACAATATCCAATAATGTAAAAAATTAAATTTGCAAACTAGGACGATGAAACATAAAACGAGCCACATTTCTTTATGTCTTCATTATTCTCATCAAAATCAGTTCTTTTCATTTGTCCCAATTGGCGATTGTTGTCCATCTGCAATTAAATTCTACAATAAGAGATTAGAGAATTATTATTATGAACATTAAATAATATTTAAAAATAAAAAATTTAAATGGAACTATAAAATAAGTTCATACTACATACCATATTTTTATTTTTCAGTGTACAAGTATGCTTGGTATGCCCTTTCTTTTTGCAAGTTGAACATGTAACTCCATTACTTTTAAGCTCTAAAGCTCCTTTCATTCTGATAGACTGAGGACGACCTTTAGTAGTCACACGAGGAGGATCGCGCATTGCTACATTATTATCATCATCATCTTGATGACTTATGATGCTTGTCAAACAACCAGTGCTACTAGTTATGCCATCATCAATCTTCAATGCATCTAACTTTTTGAATAAACATTGCATGCCTTCTATTGTGGTGTCATAATGCTTTTTTGAACGTGAAACTTTTTCAGAAAGTTGTAATGAGTGAACCATGATATTATTAAACAATGTTGTTGAACACATATTGACATCACTCATCTCTTCTTTATTTGATGTGCTTGTAATTTCTCCCTTTTTAGCATCTGTTGTCCACCTTTTTAAAATGTAGTGCTTCGGTAAAGAGTACACATTTTTCTTGATAAGAACCATCAACTGATGTCTACAAAGGATGCCCAAAAATTCAAACATGTGACATGAGCACTCTATGGTTGTTGACGAACTCATGAATGTCACTATGTACTCTGATTTTTCTTTGTCAAACTCATGCACCCTATATACAGACTCATGCTCAATAGTAATAATTTTTTTTGCAACAAATTGCTGAGAATGAATCAATTCGTCTTGAAACATTCTAAACCTCTTTCTTGTATAAACATTTGAAGCTTCTTCCTCCATTGGGTACAATGTCTTTAAGATAGGTTTTGAATTCAATGTTTTGAAGGTTTTCTCCCTTTCTTTATTGTACCTTGCGTCAAGAGCCTTGTCATATTGAACAACAAACTTACTTATTGGTGTATTAGCATTTATATAATCTTTAAAGTACTTATTCATACTTTCACTTCTTTGAGTAGTAGACATTCCAGCACAAAAACTAGTAAGTACATAAGCAGGAATCCATTTTTCACGAATGGAATACAACTTCTCAAGCCAACTATTTCATCGTAAACCATACTTGTCAAGAATTTTTTCCCATTCTACTTCAAAGTCATTCGGGATATATATCCTATGGATACAATGTGAAAATTGAAACTTAAAATCATCAAACTTATGATAAACATGGCTAAGATTTTTAGGAAATTTTTTCTCAATATGCCACATGATGATGTGCAGTATTGGCAAGACCTTTGCAATTGCAGTAGTTATAACTGTATCTTATATCTGTAATTATTGTTTTTGGATGGCATCCATCCATTGCTCCTAACCAAGTATTCAATAGCCAAACAAATGCTTCCACTGTCTCATCCCATAATAAAGCACAACCAAATAAAATGGACTGGTGATGGTGATTGACTCCAGTGAAAGGAACAAATGGCATTTTATACCTATTTGTCAAATAAGTTGGGTCAAAAGTCACAACATCTCCAAAAAATTTATAAGCCACTCTAGACCTTGAATCTACCCAAAAACAATTCGCTAGTTGACCTTCTGTGTCCATTTGTATTGCATAAAAAAATCCTGGATTTTTAGATTGACACTCCTTAAAATAATTCAACATTGCTTGTGCATCTCCTTTCTCAAGTTGCTTTTGCCTTTTGTTACTTAAATAATTTTGAATATCTCGCTCAGTACAACCGACCCTATCTATTCCTCCAGATTCAGTAACCAAAACTGACATTATTTTACTAGGACGAATTCCAGATTCATCAAGCACGTCAATCAAATTTCTTTGAGATTTTGTCCTCTTTCTATGAACTCGATGAAATCGAGCACTACTAGAAGAAGCAAGCACATGATTATGATCTCTAGTAAATTTAGATATTATCCATTTGTCTTCGTCTTTTCTAGATACATAAATCATGGCTTTGCATCCCATGCGTGTTTCATCAGATGGAGGTTTTTTCTTATTGTCTCGCTCTAAATATTTTTTTGCACGGTAACCTTCTTTTGAACAAACAAACTCTTGTCCAATAACCATTTGATTCTTTCTAGACTTTTGTATGCGGTTTTTGCGAATTTCAAAACCTTCTTGTTTTGCATAATTAGTATAGCACATTAAAGCATCATCTAGTGATTGAAACTCCATTCCAATACATAACTCTATTGTCTCATTATTCACATCACTCTGCACTGGCATTTTGTTCAATCTCAACTATATTAAATTCACCACTATTCACTAATTCATCATGATTGCTTTCACTCAATTCTGTAGTAATTTCACAACCATGATCTTCTTCAATTTCAACTATATTATGGTCTTTATTATCATGGAAAGTAGCCATCATTAATCTATAAAGAAATATATAAATGGATTAGAACACAAGTAAACCCATGAATAGGAGCATATTTCAGTTTAAAGACTATTGTCACCAAGTACCAAAATAGTAAAAAGAGAAAACATATGAGAGGTGAAAAATATAGTCATTACAATGTTCATCATTGTTAGCCACTAACAAAATTATACATATTATGCTCCTAAAATTGGAGACCCAAAACGCATAAATCAAGTTCCAAACTCAATCTTTCCACTTTATATCAAAACTATAGTTTTTTAGAGTTTACAAATTAAAATAATAATAATAATATTATTATTATTAATAACTTACAAGAGGCATTCAAAAAAAAAAAAAAAAAAAAAAACTTACAAGAGAATTTCAACAATAAAAAATAGATATAAAAAACAACTTACCTGAAGAGAACTCTTTACTAATAGAATACTGATAAAGATTCAGACAGAGAAAAACGATGACAGGTTGGGTTCTTCTAACAGAGAAAATTTGGATTTTGATGAATATATTTTCTTACAAGATGTTGCAATTGTTTCTAATAGTGACTAAGGTTGTAATTTAAATTTAGGAGTTTAGAGGTTTAAATAGATTTAGGAGTTAAGATACATATAGAAAATTAGATGATTTTTGTTAATTAAAATTAAAGTATTGTTAGTTATAAATATAATAATTTAGAAATAATTTCTTAAAACAAAAGAAGAAATAATTAGATAATGAATGTATGTTGAATTTTTTTACAGGAATGATATTTAGAAATTTATTATTATTATTATTATTATTATTATTATAAGTGATACGTACAAGATTAATATTTGTGATACGTGATAATTAAAAATAAAAGAATGGTTTTCATTATTTCTACTTAGATAATTAAATATATAATAATTAAGTAATAAATATGTTTTGGAAAGTAGATATATTTTGTTAATTATAAATAAAAGAGTTTCCTAAAAGAATACAAGTCTTAGATATTTTGTAAAAAAGGACCCGATTAACATTGATTTTATTCTTTAATGATGTATTATCTCCTCATTCACCGCCAGTGTATAGCATCTATACACTGGGCGGTGTATCAAATATTGACAAACATTCATTTGAGTTATAAGGAAAAAAAAAAAAAAAAAAATCAAACTGTAAATACAATTTTGTCATTTTTATATTAATATTGTTTAGGTTTCAAACCAAAATAATTTTTTCCATCAAAATAAAGACTAGATGTCATACCTTAAATATTAAACACTTTGTGCTCATATGACATCTATGTGGTTCTCCTTGACGGAAGGTCACAGGATTAAACCTTGGTGGTGGCGACTGACGTATTGACCAATTATCTTGTAATAGAGTCAATAAAAAAAAAAAAAAAAAAAAAAAAAAAAGAGTTAATACCTAAAATCGTCCTCGACTATAGTGATTTTTCTCAATTTCGTCCTAAACGACTTTGGTGACCTAATATCGTCCTAGACTTTTGTGTTTCGCTCAATTTAGTCCCAGACTTTTGTGTTTTTGCTCAATTTAGTCCCTCATTTGTTATTCTGTCCATTTGGTGTTAAATAAATAGACAATTCAGTAATTTTAATATTGACATCTCTTTACTCATAGACATGTGAACTGCGAAATCCATTTTTTTTACGAATTACTCCCAGAATTACTCCTAAAACTGCGAATATAAAATTTGATTTGCAGGTCCGGTAGTAATTCTGGGTGTAATTCGTACAAGACAGAGGAATTTCGCACTTCACAAGTTGAAAGTAAAGAGAGATCAATATTGACATTACTGAATTGTCCCTTTATTTAACACCAATTTGACGAAATAACAAATGGAGGACTAAATTGAGCGAAACACAAAAGTTTGGGACGATATTAGGTTACCAAAGTCGTTTAGGACGAAATTGGGAAAAATCACTATAGTCGATGACGATTTTGGGTATTAACTCTAAAAAAAATGTGATACCTTAATGACTATTAAAAGTACTATCACACCTCATTATTAATTAATTAGAAAGTAAAATAATGCAATTTTCCTTCTCTTTTTCTTCTTTTTTTTTTTTAACAAATTTTAACCAAGAATTTGTTTGCTATAATTTTTTTAATAGAAAAAATGTTAAATATGCCTTCCAACTTTATACAAGAAGGACAATTAGACCTCTAAACTTTTAAAAGTTACAATTAAACACTCTAATTTGTCATTTTGGTGCATTTAGACTCAATAATTGATTATCCACATGAAATAATTGGTTAATTGAACTCTAGCGGTGAAATTGACGACCAACGACTGGCGAACGGTCGTCAATTTTTATTATCTATGAAGAAGAAAATTAGTAGTCGCCTTCTTCAATCTGAAGAAGGCAACCGGACGCATATCGCCTTCCATCTTAAGAAGGTGATTAAATCAATAACCTGATTATTGATAAATTGAATTTATTTGATCGATTTAATAAGTTGAGATATTTAATTGCACCTTTCAAAAATTTAAAAGTCTAATATCTTATAGATGGCTTAATTTACCATTTTTTTTTTGTTTTGTTTTGAAGGGTACTTTTTTTTTTTTTTAATTAATTAAACTAATGTGTACAAACTGTATATTGATCTTCTACTCCGACTATGCTGCCTGTAAGTTTCGTGCTTGCTTAAGCAAGTAGTCTTCTCTGTTGCATTCCAAAAGATTACATTTTACAGAAAAAGAAGCCGACCAATTCGGATTCAAATCGGATCTGCCCTTCGGGTTGGAAACCCCCACAACTCTCATCACACCCATGGCTTCTTCCGATCACGCAAAGTTGCTCTCCAAAGCGGATAAACTGTACACTCTCTCTTCCTCTCTCTGTACATTTCATATACGCTACTATAGTGTTATGGTGATCACTCGTTAATTATTCATCTCGATCAATTCTAATTCTGAAGAAATTTTCATTTTAAAAAAACACCCACACATACAAGAATGTAAATTATAGGACGATTGTTTTGATTTCTTTTGAAGGAATTTTATTTCCTTCAAATGCCCGATTGAAATCTCTCTGGTTCTCATGTCTAGTAGCATTTAATTTATGTTTATGCGAAAAGTCATTCTTTAATTTGTTTTTGCTTAAGTTGTGGCATTCTGATTACTATTATTACATGTATGAATCAGCAATCTTAAGAGACAATACTGAGTATCCTTGGATCTTATGCCATCAGTGATGAATTAGTTGCATTTATCAGTTGTATTGTTCATCTCTGTAGAACAAAACTGAGTTTTACAAGGTGGACTGCTGATTGGAAGAATGCTACCAGTTTGTATGAGCAGGCAGGTATTGTCATACGTTTCTACTCTTGAGGATAAAGACTAAGGCATAAGTTGGACATTACTGTATATTTGCAATTTGTTTATGTGACTCTTTTCTTTCAGCTAATGGATTTAGGCTCGCAAAAAAGTATGAGCAAGCAAAAACAGCATTTGAGAAAGCTTCAAAAGGACAAGAGATGCTGTCCTCGTATCCTGCTCACTATATTTAGTTTCCCATCAAATTTTTTTCCTTGTATGTTATATTTCTCTTGTTCCTCTTTTGAATCCCAAGCATCCTTGACAAGTGAAGGCCTTGGGATGCAGCCAAACTTATGGAATCTGCTGCCGCCATGGCAAAGGAGTTAGGCAATTGGCGTGAAGTTGCTGACTTTTATAGACGGGCATATGAATTGTACAGTGAGTGTGGAAGGGCACAACCTGCATCTGATGCTCTTGCTAAAGGTGCCCGGTATGCTTCTGTTGGACACTCTTCCAATCACGTTTTGGTTCCTTGTATTTAATCTTCCTTTGCTAAGCATACTTTTAAGTTACTAATGGCATCCTACTTTGTTGTGGTGGGTTATCATGGTGTATATTTTCTTTACTCATTTTCTGTTCACTACTTAAAAAGGTCATTTCTATTCACTAGGCATTAAGAGGGTGTCACTGATTTGCAGCACACCCCATACAACTTTCAGCCAATCTAAGAAATGGGTGAAACAGGGCTGCGAATCCTCTTTACACCTCAGAAAAGTTCTTTCAAAAAACAATTCTCTAGACTATTGTTTTAGAGTTCCTCAAAAGTTATGATATTTCCCTTTGGGGAGAAGTAACCAAAAGAGGCTGTCAGGAATATCTGAAATATAAAGATTCACTTTTCTGATTGTGATCAGACCTTGATGCCATGCAGCTAATGCCTCCTTCACTGAATAAGGCATACCCTAGTAAAGATTTCGTACCAACTAGGCAACTAATGTAAATATTAAATCCCTGCTTAAAATGGGATGATTCTTACAGAATGCACTCCATTATTAGCTGCAGAAGAAACAGAACTAGAGATTATTAGTATGGGATGTCTGTTAAGGATGCACTGGGAGAAAATCGTTTAAGGTTCTTTTTACTTTTTCAAACTTGTGGATGATCTAGTTAGCAAGAATGATTATATAGAAGATAAGGGAAGACTTGCTTGTATTGAAGTTTTTAAATAAAGATACGCTCAATGGCTCATGACAGATGAAGCACTGTAGGCCATATCCTTGGGCCCTGCTAGATTAGGGTTAAAGCTTAGCTGTGCTGAAGATCAAGGCTTTTCTAAAATTTAGTTTAATGTTGCTTTACTATTACTCATTTCTTGTTCCATCCCAATCATTGAAGCACTAAGTCACTAACACTAATTTTGGGGCCATCTATTTGTCTCACTCCTTTGACAAAACCACACTTGGACATGCATTTTCCCTTTTTTTCCTTTTTTGTTTTGATGTGGCCAGATAAAGGTGAACCCGTAGCCATAGCTTTCTTTTATGGCTGTATTATTTTGAGTGCTGCTTTTGTTGATTATGTATCTTTCTAATTTTTGTATTTTCTTTTATCTTTCCCCTTTGGAAATTGAATGTTCAGTCCATTACATGTGTTGAGTTTTTTTTTTCAAGCAATTGTTGTAATGTACTAAAGTAAAAAATTATAAATAATGAAATGATGTGCTAAACTAAATGTGTTCAAACCCTAGCCCCCACCCCCCCCCCCCCCCCGCCCCACAAATAATAATAATAATGATAATAATATTATTATTAAGGAGTAACTATAGAGTTACTAAGGTAGTCCTAACTGTCTCTATTACAATGTCGTATATGTAGTATTGTAATAGAGTCAATAGTATTAAAAAAAAAAATAGGTAGTCCTTGTTGAATTTGGAAGATGGAATGGCCTGGCAGGTGGTATTAGGCTGAAGCAATATGAAGAATCAAGACTAGGAAATGAATATAAAACTGAAATTATATTGGTATTCTCTCTGTTTCTAATACAGAAACACAGTACATATATATACACAAATACATAACTGTAAGTAACTACCCATAATTGACACCTATTCATAAACAGACACAACCCTATAGATAAACCTAACCCTTTAGTTTTCAACACTCCCCCTCAAGCTGGAACATCTAGAAGTTCCAAGCTTGGATTAAAACATACACTCTACATTACAAATGAAGATTAAAAGCAGCTAGAGAATAACAGTGTTGGATGGCTTCGGAGGAACAATGCTATAAACAACCCTTGGGAATGAAGGCACCAGGGCGAAGTTTGTCACAAACAACCTTGGGAATGAAGTCACCAAGGGCGAAGATTAACACGAACACCCTCACAGCAACATAAGCATTCTAGGATTTGCCAATCAACAATCTCCATCAAGAATGGTAGAGCAACCAAATCATGAGCAGCAAAGGGGATGTAGTAGAGCCCATAGATTGTTGTATGAATACCGAGAAAACCACATGATTGTTGTTTATACCTCTTATAGGATAAGTGAATAACAAAAGAAGCTTTCGAAAATAAACAAGGTGCCAAACATGAAAACCCTAGGGATTAAGTATGGTATACAGAATATAAAGAAACAAATACGGTTATACTAAAAACACCCCGGAAAGAGGTTTGGAACCAACCCAAAAAGCCTTCAAACTTCACCAAAAGGTCCAAGGGCAAAACAACAATCTGGAATTTTCACCGGAGAATACATCACAAGGAAAAATACAACTTTGATGTTTGAAATACCCTAGGAAAGTAGGCTCTGATACCATGTTGAATTTGGAAGATGGAATGGCCTGGCGGGTGGAGAATAATACCACCTGCCAGTTAGGCGGAAGCAATATGAAGAATCAAGACTAGGAAATGAATATAAAACTGAAATTATATTGGTATTCTCTCTGTTTCTAATACAGAAACACAGTACATATATATACACAAATACATAACTGTAAGTAACTACCCATAACTGACACCTATTCATAAACAGACACAACCCTATAGATAAACCTAACCCTTTAGTTTTCAACATAACTGTCCAATCATCTAGTTAATTATTTTTACTAGGCTTGATTGGGCAGTCATACTTGAAGGATCTCTTTTTGCCCTTGTCTCTCTCAACCCTCTTGGACCATGGATCCTCAACCCAGCCATCCAGGTGCCTTTGATCATATATTCATATCTCCTATAACTCTTCTCTACAAGGTTGTAAAAGGGCTTATTGGGCGGTGGATGGGCGCCTAGTCACCGCCTAGGTTCCTTAATAATATTTATTTAATGTTTTATTACATTTGATAAAACAATAAAGCACTAAAGCCTAACCCTAGCTCAAAACTTGAAAGTCTAGCCCAAAGCCTAAAAGTTTAGCCCAAGCCCAAACACTCCAAAGACTAAAAATCTAACCCTAATTTCAAGTTTCAAAATTTCATATTTCCACCGATAAAGCACTACCATCACTCTTCAACTTCATCAACGGTGATGAGTAGATGACTTCCAAGCGGCGATATCGAGTTGCAACTATGGGCTTTGACACGCGAAGGAAATCCAATCGTCTGACAATGCTAGGGGCTCTGTGAAGGCGATGGGTGAGGCGGCGAGCTACGCCTATGATGGGCAACCAAGTGATGGGTGATTGCGAGGGTGCAAACTCCAATGATGGCAGTGGCAACACACAACGGAATATGACCAACTTGTCGACTAGTTGGTCAACTCGGCCGACTAGTCGGACGGCCGTCTAAATGGGGGCCTACATCAGAATACGGCAATACGCATCGGCCTAGGGGCGCCTAGTGCCTAGGCTCATTTTTGCAACATTGCTTTTCTATTCAATCAAATTACATCCTCTTGGTCTCTTTCCTTGTATGTCTCAATCTTTTTCTCCACTTTCCCATTAAAATATAAAAGTCGTGATTTATTAGGTTTGGTTTAAATGTGTATGTTGAAATGGGGATTGGGTAAAAGGGTCAAAGGGATTGTTTTTGGATTTTGGTTATGATTCTCACCACAAACTTGGTTTTAAAGTAATAAAAGAAAATAGGGTTAGACGCCACAAGTGGGTTTACACTTGATAAGTCAAGAAATCACCATGATTTATTCATGGAAAAAAACTCGCATACGAGTTTCCAAAAACTCATGGTTTTCTATTTCCAAAATACTTTTTAAATCCCAATTACAAACTAAAAATGGTGGCTTATTTATAGCCCATCAGCCGTAAATACACCACATGATTAAGATTATTAATGTTTACAAATTAAATCTAAACTAAAGATAGACAAAGGCTAGTGGAAACAAAACTCCTAAACAGATTAAAATTCTATCTAATCTAGAATTCCAAGCCACCAAAAACCTCAACAAATTAGTCCTCTTATGTGCAACTCTATCCAAATTGAATCCCACGTGCATAGTTTAGTCCAAATTAGCCATGGTGATTTTTGCAAGCATTGACCCCTTTTTGTGCCATTTGAACCCAAATCAATCATAATCTTCCATTATTTATTCTAGGAATTGGAAAGAACAAGACACCAATTTCACACCAAAATCCCTCCATATCACAGAATTGTGCTGCCACCTATTAATTAAATTTAAATAAAACAATGCCACCCAAAAGGTTTTATTCCTTTCTAACAACAAACTCAAGCTTATGCCTTACCCCACCATATTTGCAACATTCCCTCCCTCTTTGAGGGGATTCGTCCTCGAACTTTGATAAAAAAGCATGGCTAACAGTGTTCACAATGCCACACTCCTTCCCTCTTTGCCCTTGTTTTCTGTTCCTTATCTAATATCTACCAAAATGTCCCTTTAACTAATTTTTGTTAGTCATTTGTTGGCTCAAATGATTAGTTGGCAGATACATTGACTAAATCTCATATGGGCCTAGGATTGAATTCATTTAAAACAAGCTTGGGGCTTATGATATACATGCTTAACTTGTGGGGACTGGGGAGTGTTGAATTCCTAGGGTTGGAAGGTTACTATCTTCTCACTAAGCTAGATTGGGTAGTCTAAGGGTCTCTACCACTTGTATGTATATATTAGTCCACTGTAAATTAAGCTTTTCTTATTACATATCTTTTTCTTCTCCTTTTCATTCAACAATAACAATATCTTGGCCTAACTCAGACTGTACCTTTTGTTTTCAAATTTATTTTGTTAGAGCCTTGGAAGATGCAGCCCCGGATGAAGCTGTTCAACTCTACACTGAAGCCTGCGCTGCTTTGGAAGAAGATGGCAAGGACCAAATGGCATTTGATCTCTATCGTGATGCGTCAAGGGTTTATGTAAAGCTTGAGAAGTGAGATATTACTCCCTCTAGTTCACCTGATCCTGCCACTCTCCACTTAACATGCTTATTTTTTTTTTGACGAGAACTTAACATGCTTATTAAAAAATAGAACATATGGATTCTCATTCTTTGAAGACATCAGAACCCAACATGGAATAAAAGTAGTATTAGATGATGTCTTTGAGTACTAGAAAGTACAAAGCATTTCCAACATGAAACTGTACAGAGGAGTGTTTCAACAATAGCAGAATAGTTTATATTTACAAAACTGACCAATTCCAATGGGACAAACCAAAAGTAAATTTGGCAACTTCAAGTGAAAAGGAGGGTGGGGTGGGAATTTGGTAAAATATTTTCTTGGAAGTTAAAAGTTAATGGTCTATGGTGATTTTTGTATTAATGGAGTAATATATTTCTAATTTTAAATGGTCATCACCCAGTTGAAGAAACTGTGCACATAACTTAATGCTTTATATATTTGAGAATAAATTGCTCCATGTACTGATGATCAGTTATTGTTGATTTGGACTGACTATCTACAGGTATGGAGATGCTGCAACTATTCTTTTGAGATTGGCCTTGGCAGCTGATAAGTGTAATGCAACTCATAGCCAATGCAAGGTCTCAAAGCTTTCTAATTTATATTGATTGATATCTGTGCAAGTCATCTGCCGCATTTTCTGTGCGCACTGCGCATATCCACACTTTTATTTTATCCATATTTCTATTTCAAATTGATACTGTTGTCAACACGTTCATCTATTCAGTGGAGAATAATCAGATTTCTCAATGATAATATTCATGCATTTGGTTCTGTTGACTCCATTTATGAGACAGCAACTGTGCTCTTATCTTTCATGATGGAGAGAAGGTGCTTAACTGCCAAATATATGCATGCATGTTGGCTAGCTTGGAATACGTTTATGACTTTTCTGCAGTTCTTTTGTTAATGACTTATTATTGAATCCACTCTATGACTAATGATAACACAGTTTTAGGATTGCTTGAACTCTTTCTTACAGATAGTTAAATTTCTAAATGAATTTATTTGGTACAGGCATACCTCAGTGCAATCATTGTCTACCTATATACTCATGACTTCAAGGAAGCTGAAAAGTGCTATAATGATTGTTGTCAGTAAGTTTCAAGCTTGCATCACCTCTCAAATAAATGAGTGTAATCATTATTTCAGCATTGGAATGGGAAATAAGAGACAGTGAGCACAATTCTTTCACTTCCACTATTGCAGACCCACACTAGAAACCTGGCTAAAGTTCCTAAAACACCATCTTGATGAGTCGGAATTCTATCAAAACTATTTTTGCAAGACTAGGAAAAAGCTAGTTGTATCATCTATAAATCATGGCATTTCTCTTTCCTTTTCAGGGTTGAAACCTTTTTGAATAGCGATCAAAGTCGCTGTGCTAGCAAGTTTCTCTCTGCATACAGAGAAGGTGATGAAGAAGAAATCAAGCGCGTTGGTCAGTCAAGTATAGTTACAAATCTTGATCACACGGTAACTCAATTCTGCTGAACTTTAGATATAAATTCATGATATATTCATCTTTTATTTAAGACTAGTCATTGTGTTCTTTATCGTAAAGTGAGCTGTTGCATTTCGGTGTGCTATTGATGCATGCTTCTACTTATTGACCAATGTTAAGCGTACACTCCAAAACCTGTGCAGATTGTTAGGCTTGCAAGGAAACTACCAACAGGGGATGTGAGTGCATTCAGAAGTGGCACGACAAGGGACAATGAAGAACAGCTTGATGAGGATGATCTTACCTAGTCTTCATTTCAATGAATACATCTGTCATTTGTGTACCATTTTCTGGATTGCTTGGATAAAGCCTTGTGACTTGCTGTTTTATGATTTTGGTTGCTTGAATATCGTGATAGATATGAAATGATCAAGCACTGTAATATAAGCCAGTATGATAAACTCCACAGATTGGAATACTTGCACCATGGTTATTGACTTTTTTATTTGTTTCATATAAACAGCCAACCAGGGAACTTTATTTCCCAAATGTTGGTAAATAATTATTGGTACATTTGGTAAGTGAGATTGTCTTATTTTTACTTATTTGGTACAACAATTTGATTTGATGATCACACCATGAGGTAGGTTTAAGCCCTTTTGATAGCCTGGGTGTGGTTGAGGGGAAGAGATTTGTTCATATTTAAGTCTTTAACCAAATATCAAGGGGTTTGATCTTTGACTTTGGGTATGGAGCAGCCTTAAATCTCCAGGCCAGTTGTTCTACTTAAAAGAAGTGTTTACAATTCAGTGAGAGAATTAGTCAATGTATCCAGTGAAAACTCTAAGTACACCCAGAAGAGGAATAGCCTTCCAATTTGGTCGTGGGCAAGATTTTTTTTTTATTTTCTTTTTTTAATATTCTCCTTGTTAGGCTTGCAAATCAGAAAATGTCATATTTGATTTGACATTTTCCAATTAAAGTAAAGCTTACACTTTAATTTTTAAAAAATAAAACAAAATTTTAATATTATTATAATATTATACTAGTATTATATAAGAGTGAGTTTGAATTACAAGTATATTGAGAAAATAATGGTGAATTGTAATTATGATGATAGTAGACACTAGACATTAATTCTGTTGCAAATAAATGTGTACATTGTTAGAGAAATTGTATTATGATAAATACATTTTTATCCTTTATAAACTTGTAATTATCCTGAAACTAATGTATTATATTTTGTCTTTCTTTACTTTTTACTCTACATTATTATGTCTCTTACTTTCCTAATATGGAAAAGATACTACGATTCACGTGAAGATACGTTTGGTTTTACAACAAATACATTATTTTTTAAAGTGAGAATATTTCAAGATAAAAACCTAATTAAATAATTGTGATAAAAGATTAGAGATTAAATAATTCTCCAAGAATAATAAGCATATACCTTACTAATGTTGCATAGTTAAGATAAAGGTAACAATTATCAGCACATAACAATACTAGAACAAGCAAGAGAGAGGAGAAGTAGTTTTATGTTAAGCAGATTAATACTCATAGTGATTCATGAAGGCAGTAAAAGTTATATCTACATTTGGACACATCTTTACAGAGCTAATAACTCAAAAAATTTGGGCATACAAAAAATACAAAATAACAAGATGAGAAGAAGTATCAATCAAGCACTAGTTGTGTTATACGAAATTTTGACAATGACAGACAAAGGAATGTTTACAACATGGCCATGGTTTCCAAACAACCCGATCCTTCCAAAACTCGGGCTGCTGTTGTTCATAGTCGCGTTAAACGATATGGTCAAGTTCAAACTCTCCCCGCTTCCTACACAAAACCGCGTTGGCGTTACCTTCACCGAAGCCCCGTAAGGCGCACTCCACCCAACAACATATGATTCGCTGCCACCCACATTAGTCAGGGTTCGTTGAACCACTCGGGATTGGTTCAGCCTGGCAATTGTGATCGAGGGCATGTTGAGGTCCATGCCAGTCAAAGTGGAGGTGCCACAGCTCTCGCTCGTGTAGTTCAGAACCACAGGGGTGGATCCGTTGATGCCACACAGAAATGACATATAGTCATTGTAGCCTACAAGTTGGGAATGTTAAATCTTGAAAAAAAAAAATTAATTAAAAAAATTGAAAGGAATAATTTTAAATCTTGGGGAGGGTGGTAAATAACTAAATAATGGTTATATCATGAACATAGGTCTGTATGGGAACATTGACTCACATTATACACAATAATAATATCATAATGTATCAAACAATCCCTAATTTCCCCCTTTAGATTCTTCTTTTTTAAAAAAAAAAACTTAGTGACTTACTTGAATCAAGAATAAGCCCTGGATCCAATGCCGCAGTTGCATTCACGAAACCACTTCCCATATCAAAAGGTGTTGCAGGAGATTGGTTCACGTCGGGGTTAGCATACGCACGCTGGGCCAGTATGGGGCCTCCGCCTTTGTCATACACAGATGCTGTTGTCGAAAGTACAGATCCAATAGCTGCAGGAGTGAACGTCGGGAACTTCTGCTTGATCAAGGCTGCCAGACCAGCGACATGTGGAGCAGCCATGCTTGTTCCAGACATCATTGCAAAGTTCTCGCCTAAAAGTGTTTCATGGACTCTTGGTCAGTTAATATTGACAAGAGAGACACCATTGCATGGCCTTAATGATTATTGAAGCTACAACTACAAGTTTGTTTTGTATCCCATAATGTTGCAATCATTAGTGGGTGGACCATGGTCCACACAAGTTGTGTAGATCATATTGTCTACTGTAAAATCATGTACATTCAGTACAAAAATAATGTACATTGTATTCAGGGGATGTACATTATTTTTGTTCTGAGTGTACATTATATTGTATAATGTACATTCAGTACAAAAATAATGTACTTTTTGTTATGATCCACATAACATTGTGTTGGACCATGGTCCACACAATAATTTGCCAAAATGTTGGGCAGAGGCCAGTAACGAGCCAAGTCCAGCAATTGGTGGCTAGGAGGATTGTTGGGCGGAGGCTTGTAAAGGGCTAAGTCCAGCACCCAATCTCTCGAAAATGTGGTGGTGGTATATAAAGAAATAAAGTTGTGCCTTTGCCGTGAGTTATAGCTTTTGGTGTAGTGGTAAGCCTTTGATCCTAACAAGTGGTATATGTGGTGACAGTATATAAGGAAATAAAGTTGTGCCTTCGCTGTGAGTATAGCTTTTGGCGTAGTGGTAAGCGCTTGATCCTAACAAGTGGTATAATGTGGTGGCGGTATATAAGGAAATAAAGTTGTGTCTTCGCTGTGAGTTATAGCTTTTAGTATAGTGGTAAGCGTTTAATCCTGACACAAAAGTCTACCTAGAAACTCCATGGAGTCGGTTCCGCCAGAGCTCCAAGCTGCCCATATTGAATTTCCAGGAGCAACAACGTTTGGTTTTAGGATATCTGCATCATTGAGAGAATTGTCTTCCGGATCTGGCCCCCGAGCAGAATAAAACATAACCTTTGGAGCAGATAAGCTGAAATTTGCTTTAATTCCCCCTGAAATGCATGCAACTGCCCCAGACTTGACAACTTTGTTGGTCGCTTGATCTCTCTCCAGAGACGAATTGTAGTACTTGAGAAAAATCTGCGGGAATTAGTAAAATTCACGAATGTTAGCTACTAAATGAGAACAAAGTTGACTAATTCCCCAGAAACACTCCGTCTCGATCAAGTTCTTGCCATGTTACAGCACAAAACATGACAATCGAGGAGGATCAGGACTGAATTTCAGCATAGAATAAGCACTTACCTTGGAATCATCTGGAGATGGAATTATAATGCCGGGCAATCTCATTGGTACAGGATTAAGTTGAAAACCTATGACAAAAGGATCCATATAAAATACAATACCAGCTGCACTGAGGTTGCTGGCAGTTTCCAAGGCCTGTTTGATGGTGGAAAGCCCAAGCACAAACCGGATAGAGTAGCTACATATTAAAAGATTCCCCTCAACAACGGTTCGATTGAAATTAATGGCATCTTGGCATTCACCCACATACATATCATCAGAAGCTGTCGTATCATTCAAAGCATCGATTGCAGAAACCAGTGTGTACGTTGCATTTTGATTCGTTCCAGCTGCACCGAAACAAAAGCAAGTAAGAAGCATTTTAATTTTGTTAAGAGTCCCACATTGAAAAAATAAGAGAACATATGGGTTTATAAACTCACAAGTTAGACTAACTAATTGATTGAATTTAATCTTTTAATGCATTAATCTGCAATTGAGAACCTAGTTGAAAAAAATGCTAGGTGGCGATGTGTATTTTTTTATTTCATAAGACTTAAGAAGGGAACAATAGCTAATCAGCCGACTAGACGGCCTAGTTGGTGCCTAGGATGCCTAGGCGGTTAGTGCCTAGGTAGCGCTTAGGCGGCCTAGTCGGCTATCTAGAGTCTAAGCCATCGCCTAGGTGGCCTAGACCACCGATTATGGTGATACGCTAGGCAGATGGCCAGCACCTAGCGGGATTTTTGCAACAGTAATTGAGACTTACGTGCAAGTCCAACTCCAGAAATGGTGACATTGTTTCCCAGGACTATAGAGTTACTATAGGCCCTATCATGTGTGGAAGCACCGACAGTAAAGATCCACGGGCTGAACGAAGAAACGCTTTTTGGTGACGGTCCAGTATTGCCTGCTGCTTGAACGACAAATATACCCGCCTTTACCGCTGACAGCAAGGCCATGTCTATAGGGTTAAAGAAAGTTGCTACTCCGGGAGGACGTCTGTTTGGAGTGATTGACAAACTTATTATGTCTACTCCATCCTGCGCTGCCTGCAAATGCAATATATATATAGTTTAAGATATCCTCAATTCCTCATTGGAAATAGTAGACCAAAATGGGGCATGCCAACGGAGGAAAAGTAGGAACAATGGCAGGACATATGACATGTACATTAGTAATTTAGTATTAGATTTTGAAGAAACATAAAACAGTATCTAAGTTTCTTCGAATCTAAATAAATTGACACATCCAAAAATTATAATTTAACGATGATTCCAAAATTATAAGTGAACCTGGTCAATTGCAGCAACTACATCCGCAGCAAAACCGCCAAAACTCTTGTACAATGCCTTGTATACAGCAATGCTTTAAAAAAAACATTGGATCCAGTCAATATCTTAGCCAAATATAAAGTTGTTTAAAGAGCAATATACAAAACCCACCAAGTTCAGCCATGAATTTCACAATCTACTGAAGAAAACCTTTTAAGCAAACAAAACATTCAATGCATTGATAATAGGGTTTAGACCACAGGTTCTCACCTAGGGAGTGGTTCTCATATGAACAGGATTCTACATATACATATACATATATATAGAAAAAGAGAGAGAGAGAGAGAGAAGCAGTTAATCACAATTGAAGCATATGCAACACGCCCCCTCACGTGTGAGGGCCGATTATGTCTCTACCCATGACGTCATGGCTCTGATACCAAATTGAAGCATGTGCTCCATCTCAACTAAAGGCCTAAGCTGATAGTTGGATTGCACATTAATGGTTATATGCTCAACACACATGTTACACACTTAAGCAATAACTCCAATAAGCACGATGACAAGCACATTTATTGTTAAATAGATGACGGCTAACTTTTGGATGTCTTACTGTGCGCGAGGAGCCATTCCACTGGCATTACCAAATTGCTGCTCAGCTACAACCACTGGAATCCCGTGGTTCCCTGCTGCAATGGAAGCTGTATGCCTGAAACACCATTAAAAACGTGTTTATTAAATGTGCATGGGAATACTAGTATAGAACTAGGGGTTCTTTAAGAAAAGAGATACTCACGTCCCATGTCCATCGCCATCAAATGGTGAAGCATAATCCTGAGTTGCATTAAATATCCCTCTGGTTATAGCAGATGCTGCAAAATGACGGGCGCCAACAAGCTTTCTATTGCAGGATCCCGATGGGAAATCCCGAGTGACCTCACAAACACCAGAAAAGTGCTCCGGAACTGGATATGGCTTTTCAGGTGTATTATCAGAGAAGCTCGGGTGCGTAGGATCAATTCCCGTATCAATAAATCCAATAACAATTCCTTCGCCAGCAGTTACGTATCCACCTTCCCGGGCCCACGCCCCTTGAGGTAGACCCAGGAATTGAGGTGTATAAGTGGTTGCTGTCCTGACCGAGAAGTCCAAAACAACATTTGAAACTTCTTTCCTCATTGAGAGTTTATCAGCCTTCGAAATAACCAAAATACAAATCGGTAGAGAGATATAATATGTAATATGAATGATCATTAAAGTATTGAACAAATTAAAATATACCTGTTGGGGAGTGACAAGCAGAGCAAATCCATTGATCAAGTAGTGGTAGCTGTACAGTTTCATATACTTTTGTCCTCTGAATACCTTCCTCAACAAAGAATCATGCATTCGAGAAACGTAAGAACCAGGATGTCCCGAAACATTGCTGATTCAAACAGAAACATAAATTACATTACCCAACTGATGAAGTCCTAATTTACTCAATAAAGTAAATAAATAAACGAAGGGTGGTTCGCATTTAAACGCTTATCCAGATTGGTTTTTTTTTTTAATACTATTGACTCTATTACAAGGTAATATCTGTTCTGTACTTTTAGGGTTCGATCCTGTGACCTTCCCTCAGCCACAGGGGTGTCATCCGAGCACAAGGTGTTTGGCATCCAGATTGGTATTTAACTATTTAAACATTTACTTATTTATGCAGTATTATCTCCACTGAAATTGAATGTGTAAAGTTACTAGTCAAAAACACTAACGTTCCATAAATTTAAGTACCCTTTTCCAAAAACAGTCTTAAAGAAGCAATTCGAAAGAAAAGTCAAAAAGGATCAATCAAACGCCAAGAAAACAACAATCATAAATACCCTCTACCATTCAAGGCTCAACTACCTGCCATTCCAAGGAACAACTCAATCTCGTGAAGAAATAGTATAGCTATATTATTTGACATCCAAAAAAATCAGAAAACGAAAAAGAAACCAAGAAAGTGCACTGCCCTATTACATAGATACTTCATTATCAAACAGTCTTACAAAAGCATTTAGAAAGATAGAGACAAAAGGCTCAATTAAACACCAAGAAAACCATAGCCATATATAAACACCCCCAATTGTTCAATTTAACTACCTGCCATTCAAAGAAACAATCCAATCACGTGAAGAACTAGTAAAGCTATACTGTTCAGTAATCAGGAGAATAAGTAATGAAAAGAATCAGTTAATACCCAATTTGATCCCTTGACTATTACGATTTCACCACTTTAGTTCTCGACTTCCAAACTTGAACAATTCCATCCCAACTATGCAATTGTTAATCAAAACGTCCTAACCATGACTATTTTGGTTTGGACCAAGGATTATTTTAAGTAAAAATTGCACAGCTGGTATGAAATTGAGCAAGTTTGGAAGTCGAAGGACGAAATCGGGTATTAACTCAAAAGAAATAGTAATACCTAGGCTTATCAAATCTAGCTTTCCTAGAAGCACTGCCATGGGAGATATTGTAGTGAGCATGATGCTTCTTCTTCTTCTTCAGTGAGAGCTCTCCGGAGAAAAGAGAGTGAATATGAGAAGTAGGAGCTTGTTTCAGAGTCACAATGTACACTGCACCATCACTATCTTCTTCTGCAACATTGCCTTGAGCCCAAACCCCACCCATAAAAATACCCATACACAGTGCTACTATAATTATTATTACAAGATCAAACTTAATAATGCCAAAAACCCTCCCCATTTTCTGCATACCAAGAATTCCCAGCAAATCTGGATTCTAGACAAATGAATAAAATAATAGAGTACCCTTTCTGATCTTCAATAACAATAAGTGCCCATTTGCAGAACCCAAAAAAAAAAAAAATGGAATTTTTTTCAAGAAATAAAGGTACCAGTTTGCAGAATCAGAAGATTCAACCAAAAAGAAATAAAATGAGCTCTCTCTCTCTGGGGTTTTTCAAGAACTACCCATTCGCAGAAGCGGCAAAATGCAGTATAATATTAACCCAGAAAGCAAAGCAAAGAGAAGAGAAGAGAAGAGCCTTTTGCACTACAACTGTAAAGCCAAAGCTCCCAAACAAACTAGCAAGCACACCATTAACTCTGGTCTGTGGGAGGGCACTAAAAATAAAGCAGAAGATAAAGAAAAGGAGAATCCGTGAAATGGCCCAACTTTTTTCTTGGGTGCTGCGCATATGAAGAAGAAGAAGCGTTAATTATCTAATGCGAGCAAGGTGGAAGGGAAATTGGAACGTTAAATTATGTTTTTGTTTTATGTTTTTCTTAAATTTGTTGGCTTCCGAAAAGTGTCGGCTTTCCACATTTTTTCGTCTTCTTTCTTCCAACGGGCAGTACCAATACCAAAAGAAAAATACAACACATTTCATAAACTGCATTACACGTCCACATCTGCTTTTCTCTTTCTCTCTTTTGTCATTTTCCATATATCTACGTACCATTGTGTATTTGTACTTCCCACTATACATACATAACATAAATGCAACAATCATGTTTTCTTTCTCTATTAAAATCAATTTCTAACTATTACTTTCTTTTTACATGATATTGCCAAAGTATATATCTAAGGGCATGTTTGATTCATGGAAAATGTTTTTCTTGAATTTGGAGAAAATTAGATTTTTCTTTAGTTGGTTCAGGAAGGAGAAAATATTTTTTAATGGAAAATAAGTAGGATAATTATGTCATCACCAATTATTCTTAATTACCATTATGATTATTGTTGGTATAATTTTGTAGGGGTATAATTGTCTTTATACTTACTATTTCTTACCATTCCAAACTCAACCAAACAAGTGATATTTTCAGTAATTTATTTCCCACCAACTAAACAATGTAATTAATTTTCACGATATTTTTTTCCATGTAATTTCAATTTCATTTTTCCTCAAATATTTTCCGCGAAGCAAACGAGGATTCAAATTCTTTTAAAAATAATAATATTAATAATAATAATAATAATAATAATAATAATAATAATAATAATAATTACTTTTTTTTTAGTAAAAAAATATTGATTACTTGTGACCCATATATTGACTTTGACCATACCTTTTTTTTTTTTGGAAACGGACATTGACCATACCTAAGTTGATGAAATAAATTATCCTTGGAAAGAATGAAATAAATTATCCTGAACCAAAATCTTTAAATTTGTCTTCAGTTATATTAAAACCATATATATATATATATATATATATATATATATATATATATATATATATATATCTATAACGCTTCAAATTCTGAAAAAAAAAAAAAAAAAAAAAAAAAATTGGTTACTTTTAACCCATATATTGACTTTAATTTGACAATACCTAAGTTAATGAAATGATATTGGTTCTTTCATATGATGAGTGAACTCCCGAACTCTCTTAAAGAATGAGAGTTAGGGGTGTAAACGAATCGAAGTAAGTCAAATATCTTGCTATTCGATTCAAATTCGACTATTTTGAGAACTATTCATATTCGTATTCGATTCGGCTATATTATTTGAATATATTCGATTTGATTCGAATGTTCGAATTCGAAATGCTTAACTTAATAATTTTTTTTTTCGAAGTTCTTCAAGAAATTAAGATAAAATGTAATAAAATTTTAATTTTAAATAGCATAAAAATTTCAATTACAAATTCAAGTTTTAATATATATATTCGAATATATTTGAATATTAATCGAATCAAATATACTCTGATTCGTATTCGTATTCAAATAAAATTTGAATCGAAATATGTATTCGAATTCGGATTCGTATTCGAATCACGAATCGAATTAAAAATATTTGATTTGTTTACACCCCTAATGAGAGTACATGACCGCACACGCCAACCAAATTGGTTATAGTGGTTATATACTTGACAATGATTGCGCATGATAATATTTTCCTTTCCAAATTCACCCAAACTTATAATGTGTTTTTTTAATAAGTTTATGTTACGAAATATTACTACGAAAATAATATTTTTAGGAAAAATAACAAGCACAAGAACGAAAGGAATTTCTGGGTTGGTGGTTAGTACGAGTTGAGCGAAACACTCTTTCCTTAAAACTTTATTTGACGTTTCCCAAAGGTGCTAGGAGCGTTACGGCCTAGGTTTCAAGATAAAACGTACCACGATTCCAAATTTGAGCACTCAAACAGTGAAACCTGCGCGAACTAGAGCGTGGGATGAACACAACGTTGGCTAAGAAAGGATTAAGAGCATAGCTTCAAGAGAGAAAAGACGATTTTCCTTGTTGTAAAAAAATGTTGCTCTACAATCAACTTATATAGGAGTTGGTGGTGTAAATAGCATTCATTGGCATTAAACTCTAGTTTAAAACCATATTGTAACCTTCAAAACTGACCATTTAACATAGAAATTAATTCTGGAATTTAAAATTGGAATTAATTCCTTAACATCTGAATTGATCCTCCAAACAATCACTGGAACGGTAGTTCAAAAGAAGACTCCTCCATTCCGAAAGATAACGTACCTCTCTGGAAGAAGACTCTTCCATTCCAGAAAAAAGACTTCGGAAGGAGACTTCTCCATTCCGGAAGAAGACTTTGGAGCGTGGGATGAACACAACGTTGGCTAAGAAAGGAGTAGGAGCAGAGTTTCAAGAGAGAAAAGACGATTTTCCTTGTTGAAAAAAACTGTTGCTCTACAATCAACTTATATAGGAGTTGGTGGTGTAAATAGCATTCATTCGTGGCATTAAACTCTAGTTTAAAACCATATTGTAACCTTCAAAAGTAACCATTTAACCTGGAAATTAATTCTATAATTTAAAATTGAAATTAATTCCGTAACATCTAAATTAATCCTCCAAACAGTCACTAGAACGGTACTCCGAAAGAAGACTCCTCCATTTCGAAAAATAACGTACATACCTCTTCGGAAGAAAGACTTTGGAAGGAGACTTCTCCATTCCGAAAGAAGACTTTGGAAGGTAAAGGTAACTCTTCAATAGCTAAAATGTAAGAACTTTGGAAGGTAACTCTTTAGTAGCTAAAATGTTGGAATTCAAAAAGACAACAAGTTCACTATGGGATTTGATCTACCTACTCGCTTCCCTATACGTGAGAGAGAACTTCTATACTATACAAGTTAATATGCCTTAGAAAGGCTCTTGTATAAATAGTGGTACAAACCCACTTCTCAAACCAATATGGGACAAAAGCTTCATACAAGCCTTTTCACATTCATTTTCCAACTCTAATAGGTCTACTTTGAGAATGAATTTCTCATTCACCCATTATCCGTTTTGAGCGTACAATATATCAATCTCTTCGTCTCACTACGAAGAATCCGAATCCACTTTAACCCGACCCAAATAGGAAGTGAACCCCACTAATAATTGTACCACAAAATAGTCAAAAATGACATCTTATGCTATTTTTTCAAACAGTTTTAACCCAAATTTAAGGTTCCCTCACCGTTCTTATCTAAGAGACCGATTGCGGAGGTAAATCACAGAATGTACCTCAATTAATCTATACACCCAAAAAATGTTTATACACTAGTAATCACAAATGGCCAAATTCATATCTCATTTTTTGGTCTATATAATGTGTTTTTTAAATACATTTGATGGGAGTGTGATTCAAATTCAAGTTTTTTACTCAAAACTAGTGTGATTTATTATTAAACTACACATTGAATCCTTTCGAGACATATTTATTAGTCCATGCAATAGATTTCTAAGAATTATTAATTTTAAATTGGAAAATATTATTTCAAAAAAAAATGGAAAATATTTTTGAAATTTATGACAGTCTAACCTAATATAATATTAGTAATACAAAATTTGTGTGGAATCGTCTCACACTAGATAGATCTTAAATGTATAAACTTTTTTAGTGAAAATATTTTTTTTTAATAAGTTAACAAACATTACATTGTAGCTGAAAAAATTATATATTAATTGTCACTTAAAAAGTATTAGTAAAAAGTATTAATTGTCATTTATGTTAATATTATTCTCAATGTAGTTTTAAAATATGTAAATTTTATATATTAATACTGAAATTATGTAATGTAGATATGTAACATAAAATAAGCACCTAAATAAGTACACATGTGAATTTGACAATGCAGTTACAGAACACCAATTCATTTGCGAGGCCACGCCTAAAAACATTTTCACTTAAGATCAACCTGCGGTTTTACAATTACAAGGTTCAATGAATTACAAAATTAGGTCTACCACCTATTTAAACATTAACCTCATACAACAACGCTATGAAAAAGTTTATAGGTACAATTTGAACTAATTCTACCCATTAAACAAACTGTAACCAACCTGAATTTCAACACAGCTTGTACTAATATAAAGTGGAGTTGACTTTTCCAGATAGTACACCAATCTTTCCCTGTTTTAAAGTTTCCTTACAACACCTTCTAAATAATTTCTCGCAGCACCTTCCAAAATAATATTACTATTTCCCCCTTTTGGAAACTTCAAATTGTCTTCATTACATAATTCCATTTTTAAGTGTTTTTAGACACCACAACAATAGGAAATAGACACCACAAAATTAGGGAACTTAATCCCATTTCATAGTTCACCTTTCACGTAGGAGTTAGTGGAGATAAACTCTCAATACCAACTTCATTCCCCACATTTTTCTCTATGAAGAACACCCATCACTTTCATTCAGCCCACATAATTACACTAACATATGCCAATAAAAACAAAATTAATATTTTCATATTAATTATGTACTAATATAACAAATACTAAACTAAAAATTACAAAAAATATATATATTGAATTGTAAATAATTTAAAGTTATATCTCATTAACCTAACCATGCACATAAAGTGTGGTGGAGAAATTAGTTATTAATTCATAGAAAAATATAATATTACTATAATTTTATATATATATATATATATATATATATATATATATATATATATATATATATATATATATATATATATATATTTATGTATTTGAGACCCGTCTAATATGAGACAATTTCATACAATACCAACCATATTAATTAATAGTAGTAAGAGACTAAGAGATGCATGTTGCATGTAAGATAATGCAACCTCGTATGTTTCATGTATTTAAAATTTCGTGAGGTTATTGTTTGGAGAATCTCATTAGCAGGGCCGTATTTTAAATTTTGGTGGCCCTGTTCTAGTAAATAAATGTGGCCCTACCAAAATCACAATTTTTAAAATTAATACATGTAAGTTTCGAACCTTTGACCTCCAAGTTAAAATACAA